GCTTAGCCCTTTCCTCATCATTAAATGAAGTTAAGAACTTGGATGGACTTGGGTTCAAATATGAGACCCTTCTGTTTACTTGCTGTGTGATCTGAAGCAGGTGTCTTCACCTCTCTGTGCCTGCAGTTCCTCATCCATCTCAAGTATAAGCTTCAGAGTCTGCTGGAGCCCAGCACCTAGAACAGTGTCTGGGACCCAGGCTGACCAGCAAACGTCAGCTGCCGTTGGTCAGAGTTTGCCTTTTTGCACGTTTGACACTTCCTGAGGGCCTGCTTTGTGCTGGACGCCATTCTAGGTTCTGGGACACCGCAGTGAACAAGACAGACAAATCCCTGCCCTCGCGGACCTGATGTTTTGGTAGCAGAGACAGATAATAAATCAATATTGTGTTGGGCAAGGATCACTGCCGTGAAGTGGGCAGCAGGGGACGCGAGGGACAGGAGCTTTTCCAGATCGGGTAGTCAGGGAGGGCTTCTCAGAAGAAGTGACATGTAGGCAGAGACCTGAAGAAGGTGAGCATCTAGACTCCAGGAACAGCAAGTGCACAGGCCTGAGTGGGCTGAAGGAGCAGCTGGGGGGCCTGGGGTACATGGGGCGGGGGAAGACACGAGACCCAAGAGCACACGTATCAGGCAGGCCATGGAGAGAACTTGCTTTTGATTCTGCAGGAGCCGGAATTTCTGAAAAAAGGAGGGACATTCTCTGCGTTGTTTTAACAGGGTCCTTCTTTTATAATGGGGACACCGCATCCTGGGAAGGGTAGGACTAGCCCAGGGTCACCCCGGCAGGCACCCAGCTCTCCGGCCAGGCCAGGGCCTCAGCAGGGCAGGGCCGCCTGGGAGAGCAAAGTGCAGCCAGGGTGGGGCAGCGGCAGCCCTGGGCGCCTGGCCAGAATCTGCCCTGGGTGTGGGTGGCAGGTGTGGGTGAGGCCTCAGCCCTGCTCTGCCAGGGCCAGCGAGAGCCAGAAACAGCCCCCGAGGCTGCGCTTGTCTGGAAAGGGCACCTGGAGTCTGGGTAGGGCCCGCACAGCCCCTGGTGGCTAAGACTGGATTCAGGAGCCAGGTGGCCTGGATTCAGATCCTCACTCTGCCCCTCACTAGCTGTGTGACTGCGGGCAAGTCACTCAACCTCTCTGGGCCTCTGTTTATAGTTCTCATCTGTAAAATGAGGACGAAATAGTGTCCATCTTGAAGGGCCGCAGGGAGAATCAAATGAGTGGCTCTGGGGAAGGGACTTGGGGTGCTTGGTAAGAGGAAGATGCCTCAATGATGTAAAATTGGGGTGCTAGGCTCACCCCACTCTGTGGACCTGGAACTGGGTCTGAGGGGCTTCCCCTACCCTGACTTCCTTAGCGTCAGCATCACGCCCAACCCCCCAGCCCTGGTAGGGGCGGCCTTTGCGGGGGTTATAATTTCTCTCCCCCGAAACCTCTGACCACCAACTTCCCCTTTTCAGGAAAGAGCCCGGTGGGGGTGGGGCAGGGCAGAGACCATTGCTTCCCCTCCTGTGTGTGACCTTGGGCAAGTCACTTCCCCTCTGAGTTCCTGTCTGAGCCGAGTTTCCTCACTGGGGGAGGAGGGACTGAACCTTCCAGAAGGATTGATTGGTGGAGGGTCCCAAGGGACATAGCTGTCCAGGGCCCCATCGGCGCCCATTCAGGGTGCCCGGGAGATGGATGCTGACAGTCACGGAGCGCTCAGTATGCGCCAGATCCCGTCCCAAGTGCTTTCACTGCCCAGACTCATTTACTCCTCCCCACTGCCTCCGGAGGGGGGACTGTCATTTTCCCAGTTGGCAGGTGAGCAAGATGAGTTCTTAAGTGGGAAGTTGACTTCCCTGAGTAGGGATTTGAACCCAGGGCCGTGGATGTCAGATCCTGACTCTGAACCAGTTTACTGATGCCTGCCCCCAAGGCTGAGCTGAGTCAGACGGTGTTCCTCCAGGAAGTCCTCCCTGACGCCCCAGGTTGGGGCAGGTGCTCCTTCTGGGCACCCCCAGTGCCTGGGCTCCTTGGTCCCAGTCCCGGGTTGTCACTGTCTGGGAATGAATCTGTCTCCCGCACGGGACAGTGAGCCCCGGGAGGGTGGTGCTAGGGCTGTCTGGGTCACTGCTGTGTCCTCATGCCCAGCCCCACCCAGCATGGGCGTGACACAGAGCCTGCAGAGTGTCTGCCAAGTGTCTGCCGAGTGTCTGCCGAGTGGCCGGCAGTGCCCTGGGGAGCTGGGTGGATGGGTGGATGGGTGGGCGGCAGGGGCTCCTCCTGGAGGAAGAACCCGGGGTCCAGCATCAGTCCCCAACTTGCTGCAGGCCTCACACCCTTCCCCTCCCCGAGCCTCAGCTTCCTCCTCCCGCCTGAGCGGGAGCCCTGTCGGGGCGGGGTGTCCAAGCACCCTGGTAGAGATAGGGAAACTGAGGCCAGGCAGGGGCTGTTCTCTAGGGCAGCTCAGGGCTCCTGCCGCCTGGTGCCTCACTCTGTGTTTACCTGCATGTCCCTCCCCAGTGCTGGCCTCGGTCCCCTTCCATCTCCCCTTCTCCCTCTGCCTGTCTCTCCCCCGATCCTCTGCGGCCCCTGCCCGGCCATCTCTTCTCCGTCCCCACCACATCTGTCTGTGTGTCTGTCTCTCTCCCTTTTGTCCGTCTGACTCTCCCTTTCTCCCCATCTGTTTGTCTGTCTCACGTCCCCTGTTTGGGCGGCAGCCTCTGTCTCCTGATTGCTGTTTCTGTCCTAATCTATCGGGGTGTCCCTCCCTCTCTCTGTCCGATCGTCTCCTTCTGCCTCCCTGTGTCTCTCTCGATCCCACACTGTCTTTGTCCCTTCCAATGTCCCAGGGAGACCCCGATGAGAAGGTGACCGGCCCCTCTCCTTTTGTGTCTCCCTTCCTGTAGTGAGACAGCCGTCTGTTCCAGCCGGGCCACTGTCATGCTTTATGACGATGGCAACAAGCGATGGCTGCCCGCCGGCACCGGTCCCCAGGCCTTCAGCCGCGTCCAGATCTACCACAACCCCACGGCCAATTCCTTCCGGGTCGTGGGCCGGAAGATGCAGCCCGACCAGCAGGTGCCACCTCCCTCCAGTCCCTCCCTCTCTGTGGGTTGAGCCCCCACCCCTGCGCCTACCACCCCTCACCCCCATTCCCCTCCTGCCAGGTGGTCATCAACTGTGCCATCGTCCGGGGTGTCAAGTATAATCAAGCCACCCCCACCTTCCATCAGTGGCGCGACGCCCGCCAGGTCTGGGGCCTTAACTTCGGCAGCAAGGAGGACGCAGCCCAGTTTGCCGCGGGCATGGCCAGTGCCCTAGAGGCGTTGGAAGGTTAGAAACAACTGGCAGGCGTGGGGCAGGCAGAGGGTACCCCTGGAGGCTGCTGTTCAGGCTGCCCCTTCACCACTCTGGGTCTCAGTCTCCGCATCTGTAAAATGGAGCTAATTCATTGCTATGGCGGGAAACTATCATGAGGATTCTTGGGGGCCCCTGTGTGCTCCGTGTGCACCTATGTATGAAACGTACGACTCCTAAAGGTACGGTACGCTCCATGAATTTTACACACGCACGCTCCTGTGGGCCCACCTCCTACATCAAGACATAATTTGCAGTCCCCAGAAGGCTCCGTGTGTCCTTTCCCCAGGTACCTGCTGACAAAGTCTACAGCTGGTATTTCTTAGACCTTAATGTGTAGACGAATCATCCCAGGGTGTGATTAGAGTGAAGCCTCTGGCGCAGGCGGGCTGGGTGGGGGCCAGACCGCGTTTCTAGCAAGCGCCCCGGCTTGCAGGTCCATGGACAGGACTTCGAGCAGCGAGGCTTAGGTGACCCCTGTACAGCTGGGGTCTGGAGTCACTGCTGCAGAGCTGAACATCAGATGGCGGAGGCCTTTGCCTCCGGGGGCAACTTCAGTGCTAGCGGGGAAGGGGCTTGCTCGTCTGGGGGCACACAGGAAAGTACCGTGGGCAGTTCAGGTACCAGGGGCACGGACGCCAGGGGTTAGGTGACCAAGGGTCTCAGGTGGGGATCCAAGCAGCTGTAACAGTGGTTAAGAGTCCAGATGCTGGAATCAGCCTGAATTCAAGTCTTGTTCCTGAAAATTCCACCCTGCAGAACTTCGGGGCCAGTGACTGTCCCCTGGGCCTTATCTTCGCCACCTGCCACTGGGGCATCCTAACAGCACCCACCTCCTGGCAGCTCGGGCAAGGGGAGCTGGTGCTGCCCCCACCTGGGCCTGGAGTGTCAGGGTCGCAGGAAGAAGGAAGTGAGCGCCTCTGGGCAGGGATCCCGGGAGGCTGGGGGAGCTGACTCATCCCCTTTCTGCTTCACCTTCCAGGAGGTGGGCCTCCTCCGCCCCCAGCACCTCCCACCTGGTCTGTCCAGAACGGCCCCTCCCCGGAGGAGGTGGAGCAGCAGCAGAGAAGGTGGGGCAGGGCCCTGGGGGGTGGAAACCTTAACCACCGTGAGTTCTAGATGTTCCAGAACCCCTGACTCCTCTAGTGCACAACCCCTCAACTTTCAGCTTCCAGAATGATCCAGCTCCCAAGGGATTAGATGTTGACAGCTTTCAGAAACCCCCACCTCCCAGAGTTCAAGAAACTCCTGACACAGAATTGTAGAACCTAACGGTCCCCAATCCTGGCCTCCCAGATCCCCTGAGTTCGGAATCTGGTTGTTGAAAGAATCTCGGGCATTGTGCAGTTCATGTGTTTTTGGGCAGTTTGATGACTAGAATGCTCGAATATTCTCTCCCCGTCCCTGGTCCCCACCTCAGCCTCCTTACTCGGGCCCCTGGGGAAGGAAGGCTTGGGTGCGGCTTGGGAGCTGGTCTCATGGGAGATCTCTGAGAGAGGCCGGGAGGTCACAGAGCCCTTCACTGGCCAGCCTCAGTGCCCTGACTGATGGCAGCTCTATCGCCTCCCCTCCCCCTGCCCCACAGGCAGCAGTCTGGCCCCCCGGAGCTGGAGCGCAGGCCCTCCAATGCAGGTGATTGTGGCAAGGGCCTTGAGACTTCCTGGGGGAAGGGGTGGGCCTCCCTGGGGGAAGGGGTGGCCATCTGGAAATTGAAGAAAGAGGCTACTCTCTCTCAGCAACCCCTGTTTTCTGTTTGTTCCAGGAGGCCCACCTGCTCCCCCAGCTGGGGGCCCACCCCCACCGCCAGGACCTCCTCCTCCTCCGGGTCCCCCCCCACCTCCGGGTCTGCCCCCCTCCGGGGTCTCCGCTGCAGGACATGGAGCAGGGGGAGGCCCACCCCCTGCACCCCCTCTCCCGGCAGCACAGGGCCCCAGTGGTGGGGGGGCTGGGGCCCCAGGCCTGGCTGCAGCCATTGCTGGAGCCAAACTCAGGAAAGTCAGCAAGGTGAGGGAGGGGTCGGGAGTGGCAGGGTGTGGGGTGACTGGGGCAACTGATACAATAATCGGATGAGGCGGGGGTTGCCTGGAGGTGTCAGAAGGACAGGGAGGCCAGGAGACCTGCCCCTAAAGCCCCTCCCCTTTTTAATTTCTGCAGCAGGAGGAGGCCTCAGGGGGGCCCTCGGCCCCCAAAGCTGAGAGCGGCCGAAGCACAGGCGGGGGGCTCATGGAAGAGATGAACGCCATGCTGGCCCGCAGGTGAGCCCTAGCCTGGACCCCTGGATCACCTGCAGAGTCCAGTTCAGTAGGGCCGATGGGGGAGGGTTCTGATTCCTATTTTGTCCATTTCTTTTGGTGAAAATTCCCCCTTTCATAGCCAGATTAGGCTATAATGCTGGGAATTGTCACCTCCTGAGATGGCTGAGGTTTGCAGCCACCTAGGTAGCCTGTAGAATGCTCTAAAACCCAGAATTCTGGAAACACAGATTCCTAGAATCCCTGCATTCGAACCCAGAGCCCCTCCACCCTTAGAATTTATGATTCCAAGTGGAAGAACCATAGAACCCCTCACCCTAATTCTAGAACAAGAATCTCTTGAGCTTCTAAAAGTTTCCTTAGCTTTCCCGAGTTCCAGAACTGGACACCCTAGAAACCACATTTCTAGAACTCTGGGAAGGGGGATCACTAGGTGGCTGGGGGAGGACGAAAGCCTGTTTTTGCCTTTCCCTCCTGCAGAAGGAAAGCCACGCAGGTCGGGGAGAAACCCCCCAAGGATGACTCTGCCAATGTAAGTCAGGGGCTCTTCTTGGCCTGCACACCGTGAGGGTGGGGATATTGGGGGCCGGGAGGGGGGGCAGATAGGGCATGGCTGCCTTTCAACCTGGAAGAGGAAAGGGGCAGAGGTGTGGCAGGGTTGATTGATGGCAGTTTTATTTCCCACCAGCAGGAGGAGCCAGAGGCCAGAGTCCCAGCCCAGAGTGGTGAGTGAGCGCCCATTCAAGAAACTACACAGAAACTACAAATCCCAGAATGCCTTGTTCTCACATACACAGCACCCTCATGGGAGAGTCTGTGCAAATAGTGCTGGGGATTGTATTTCCCTGAGAAGGGTCTTTGACCGTGGGCTGATGAGGCTGGGGGAGAAAGAGTGAATGGGGGCAGTCCTTTGCCCTTACCTTTCTGATTTGTTACCTGTCCCCCAGAATCTGTGCGGAGACCCTGGGAGAAGAACAGCACAACCTTGCCAAGGTGGGCCATCCAAACTGGGACCCCACCCCCCAAAATTGTGGGACTTGCCCAATTAATAGGGAGGAATGCTGTGACCCCTGAAATGGGAGGCAGGGGAGGGAGGTCCTCTCTCTAACCTCATTTCTGTCCCAAACCACACCAACTCTCCCCAGGATGAAGTCATCATCGGCGCTCACTTCCGAGGCCCACCCCTGTACGCCTAGCTCCAGTGATGAGTCAGACCTGGAGAGGGTGAAACAGGTAGCTTGGCGAGGAGGGCGGAGGTGAGGTTGGGAGCTTGAAAGGGGCCACAGGAGAGAGGAGATCTGGATCCAGACCCTGCCACTGGCATGCAGAGCGATTCTAGAAAAGGTCTCAGAAACCTCCATTTTCTAGTCTGAGAAATGGAGAAGATTGGGTCAGGTTAGGGATGACCCAGATGACACCACACCCTCTTTTCCAGTGCCTGTGACAGACCTTACTAATCTACCATCACACTCACTCCCCATGAGTACCTTGAATCCATTCGGCACACTGACCCAGCCGTCCCTCACCAACTGGACTTGGCAGGAGACCAGAATGGATCTGCCAGCCCTGGTACTGGATGTTCTCCAGTACTCTTATGGCTCCAGGGATCCAGAACTCTGCCCTGGCATCCTCCAGAAACTGTGACCTTGGCAGTGATGTCATGGTGCAGGGGTAGGGGTGGGTCTCAGACCTGCTTCCTCTGGCCTTTCAGTCAATAAGAATGGGGGGATTTGTTTCTACAAGTCCAGGTACCCCTCTTGATTGGTTATGTACCCCATCATTTTCAGGAGCTTCTGGAAGAGGTGAGGAAGGAATTGCAGAAAGTGAAAGAGGAAATAATTGAAGGTGAGGTGGTTTGGTTTGGTTTGGTTCTTAAACATTTATTTATTTTGGAGGCATCATGTCCCTGGGAAAGAGCCCTATTTTGGAAGGGAAGGGGGAAGAAACTCTGGCTCTGACCTCTGCCCCTTGTTTCCTTCCAGCCTTTGTCCAGGAGCTGAGGAAGCGGGGTTCTCCCTGACCACAGGAACCCAGAAGACCCATTTCTCCCTTCCGCACACCCCGCCTGTCACCCTGCTTTCCCTGCCTCGACTTGACTTGGAATTGGCTGAAGACTACACAGGAATGCATCTCCCCCATTCCCCATCCCACTTGGGAAATTCCAAGGGGGTGTGGCTTCCCTGGCACCCTGCCTACACCCATACTGGCTGCTGATTGGCTGGGGAGGCCCCCACCCTTTCTTCTCTTTGGTCCTTCCCCTCTGCCAGCCCCTTGGGGCTGGTTCCTCTGCTGGGGATGTACCAGTTAGCCCCACAGTGAGGGGGAAGGAAGGAGGGAATTTCACATTCCCTTGTTCTAGATTCACTTTAAAGCTTAATGCCTTCGAATTTTTGTTTTTTAAAGAAAAAATATATATATATATTTGGGTTTGGAGGGGAAAGGGAAATTTTTTTTTTCTCTTTGGTTTTGATAAAATGGGGTGTGGGAGTTTTTAAATGCTATAGCCCCAGGCTTGCCCCATTTGGGGCAGCTATTTAAGGGGGGGATGTCCCACCAGGCTGGGCGAACCTCCTCCCTGGCTCCCAGGGACTTACCTCCCCCCTGGCTCCTTCCCCTTTTCTATGAGGAATTAAGATGCTGTAACTTTTTGGAACCTCAGTTTTTTGGTTTTTTTATTTGGGTAGGTTTGGGGGTCCAGGCCATTTTTACCCCATGGAGAAAAAAACGATGAGGGAGAGAGGAAGGGGAGGATACTTCTCCTCTCTTGCCTTCACCTTGAGCTTCTTGAAAATGGGCCCCTGCAGAATAAATCTGCTGGTTTTTATAAACGCTAAGACCTCTAGAGTGATTTGAAGGGCTGTTGTGCTGAGGAGGGAGGCACACCCCACCCTTGGTGCCCCTTCCAGAAAGAACGCTGAGAACCGCTGCCTCCCATGATCCCGATTCCTGCTGTCTTCTTCCTTTCCTCCCACAGTCCACCCGTTCCAGGCCCCTCAGGCCCCTGCAGCCAGGGTGATCTCTGCCCCCTGTCCACCTCTCTCCCCATGCTCTTCCCCAGGCTGCTTCCTGACCCCTTCTACCCTGCCCTTCACCACCCCTGGAGGAGGCCAGAGCCTCCCCTCTCTGACTGTGTGGCCTGGGGCAAGTCCATTTGCTTACCCTGGGCCTCAGTTTCTCCATTTGGAAAAGGGCTCATGGGATGACTCCTGCCTCTCCACCCGAACTCTCCCAGCTTCTTTCCTAATTCTGAAGACACTTTACCCATTTTGCAGATGCACGTCAGGGTTCGCAGAAACATTCCTAAGATGCCTTCTTTAACCCAGAGCTCCTTTAATTATAAAACAGTTACAGTCTAAAATAATGGCGCTCAGAAGTCACAGAGCTCATACACGGACCCTTTGGTGGTTGGGTGGGTGAGGCAGGTGATGGACCTCAGGGCTGAGGGCCAGAAGCCCATCCAAAGCAGGAAGGGAGAGATTTGGATGGAAGGTGGGCGATATGACAGTGACTCATGTAGCAAGGGAACAGGGTGGGTCTCTATGAGAGGCTACTGAAGAGGACAGTGGGAAAGGACTTCGGACAGGGACTGAGACAGAAAGCCACAATGGATTAGCCCTCGTCGGGACCAATCGTTCCTCCCCAAAAGGCCACGTCCTGCTGGAACTAGGGATGGCAGATCTGGGAGGCATTGCCCAGGGAGACCCAGCACAGCCAGGCCAGTGGATTGTGCCATAGACCAAAGGAATGGGGGGGGGGTTCTGTTTGAAGAGAGGACCCCAGTTAAAGGCACTAATGGTGGATTAAAGGCCGGAGCCACAGGGTGACTCAATGAAGCTAATTCAGTCCAAGATCCACCCCGCCCCCTCTTCCCCCAGAGTGAGGTAGCTGGAGGGTGGCAGGGCTGGGAAGTTCATTGGAACTTTCTGCCTTTTCTTTACAATGGTCTGTACCCATGAGGAAGAGGTAGGGGGTGTTCAGTACAGTGGATGAGAGTCAAGGTCCGTTTCCTCAGGTAAGTGAGAGGTTGGCTAAATCCGTGCGCAGGATCCAATTTCCTTTCGCCAGGAGGAGTTCTGCTGGCCCACCTGGTGGTGGGTACGTGGGGTCCCACAAAAGACGCTGTCTCTCCTAAGTGCTAAGCCCATGTGCTAGTGGGGAGCAGGGGGAGGGAGGGGTCCCCGTTGGAACATTCCAACAGTGGGAGGGAGAGTCCCAGTGGAAAATGCCACTGGGCAGGTTAGCAGGGAGGTGACCAAATGCCCGGTTGGATCGGCTCCAGCCCACGATCCCTTCTGTACCCAAAAGGACCTGGTGGTGTCAGCCGGGCCGGTTCAGGAAGGTACCTGCGGCCTCCTATTCCTCTGACCCCGGCGCAGCCTTGGGCGCGGGCGGCGGGCCCCGGATGCAGAGCTGGGCTCGCACCTCCTGCAGTTGCGCGCGAAGCTCCTCCAGGGCGCTCTGCGAGGGCGTCGCCTGCACCTGCGCTTGCAGCGCCTCGAGCGTCAGCGCCAGGTGGCCTACCTCGTCCTGCAGCGCGCCCCAGGAAGCGTGCTGCTCCCTTTCCTTGCGATGCTGCGACTGGTGGCGCCAGTACTCCAGCATCAGGCAGCTGCAGGCTGCGACAAAGATGATGGCCTCGCCCAGCAGCTCCGCGCCCAGCTCGGCGGCCGCCTCCTCGTTCAGCGGCTTGACGGCCTCGGCGTTGAAGCCCATGATGCGCATCTTGGTCCGCATCTCCACCCAGTGGTACACTGCGGGGGAAGACAGGGGTCAGGGATCTTTTGGAGGGGAGGCCCCTGCAAGCCCCGTCCCTCCGCGTCTCCATGTCCCCCGTTGGAGCAATGGGGACATGGTAACCAGAATCACCGGCGCTGGGGAATGGGCGCCTTAAAGAAAAAAAGCGCTGGGCCTCACACCTGGAACGTTCTAGGGCAGCGGTCCGCAAGCTTTTTGGCACCAGGGACCGGTTTCATGGAAGACAATTTTTCCACGGATGGAGGGAGGCGGAGGGGGTGGAGGCGGAGCTCAGGCGATGATGCGAGGCCAGGGGGCTGGGGACCGGGGACCGCAGCTGTAGGGGAAACTTCTTCCTCACCTAATAACTTATTCATGTGAGCATGGACTATCAGCCTTTGCATCGTTATAGACACAGCACAACAGAGCTGATGCTGAACTCTAACTCCGGCAAGAATTGATATCCATCTATGGGCACATGAACTGATCGGAGAGAGCCAGCCGCCTCCTGCTCCTTAAGCAATAAATTTCTGGCCAGGCACGGTGGCTCACGCCTGTAATCCCAGCACTTTGGGAGTCCCAGACGGGAGGATCGCTTGAGGCCAGAGGTTGAAGACCCGCCGGGGCAACATAGCCAGACCTCATCTCTACTAAGAATAGAAAAATTAGCCGGGCATGGTGGCACACGCCTGTAGTCCCAGCTACTCAGGAGGCTGAGGCAGGAGGATTGCTTGAGCCCAGGAGTTTGAGGTTGCTGTGAGCTAGGCTGACACGACGGCACTCTAGCCCGAGTGAGACTCTGTCAATCAGTCAATCAATCAATCAATCAAACACAAACCCTAAGGGAGGTGCTTAATGGATAGGTGTCATGAGGTGACTGGCAGGGATTAGCACGTAGAAGCCTGTACACTGTCTTCCCCAGGGGCTGTAGTTTCTGCAAAACGCACCAACCAGCCACAGAGCTCCATGGGGGATGGGTGCGCCCAGGGCAGCCAGAGGCAGGCCAGGGCCCAGGGCCAGTGCCGACTGCTCACCTGCTCAGGCATGGGCCTCCCCTCTCCTCCCTTCTAGGCCACGCTCCCCCCACCCCATACCTCTCTCTCCCTGCTCTATCCCTCCTGCTGCCCCACTTGTGCAGGGATGGCCCTGACATCCCTCCAAAGGTGAGCGTGGGGCTTGGGGGCAGGGCCTCTGGCCCCAGGGAAGCTGGGAAGTAGACAGGGACAGAGGACAGACAGGGCTTTCTGGGGACGTCTGAGAGGCAAATGTCAAATATCAGCCAGTGAAACCGGGACACTGAGCAGCGAGCTGAGCCTCCACTTCTGGAGGTGCTGAGAGCCCGGGCAGAGTCCGGGGGGCTCCTGCTCCCTCAGAGGCCAGGCTGCCATCCCTGAGGGGAAGCCTGTCAAGATCAGAGTGATCAGAGCTCACACGTGCTCGGGCAGCAGACACCATGAAAACAGAAGTAAATATGTAACAGAGGGACCTGCCTGGAAAAGGGCAAAATGTACTATGAGCTGTCTCTTTAAAACCTCCCCCACTCTTTTTGGAAATTAAAACCTGCATCCCTGCCCCAGGCTGGTGGTCGGTAGGGGCAGGGGAGTGTCCTTGTTCTTCGTACAACAAGAGATGCTCAAAGGAACAGTCTGGACACAAGTCACGAGATTGTCTTTCCGGAGATGGGACGGATCAGAACCATCAACTGCAGTTAAACAACAATACCCAGAAGCTGAAAACCCTCCCTTTAAAAGCTCTGTATTTCTGCTTATCAATGGGAAACTGGTACTTTAAGACTCGAGCCTGCCTTTTTCCTCATTTGCTGGCAAATTAATAAACCTCCCTTTCCTTCTCCTCAAACCACTTGTCCTCATTCTTCTGATGCGGCCTCAGGGACAGGTGCGCTGAACTTTCGGTAACAGACAGGGTCCGTCCCTTGGGGACCGGAATTATGCAAACTGGGATTACGCAAACCTCAAACTGAAACAATAAAGGAAAGAGAGTCCCTAGGACAGAGTCACTGCCTTGGGGGTGCCACCCCTCAACCTGGGGGAGCCTGGAGCCTGTACAGTGAGGGCAGCTGGTACTGGGGGGTTTTGAGTGGAGCCTGGGGGGCGATGAGGGGGGAGAGTGAGGGGCCATGGACCAGCGGGGGTGGGGGAGGGGCAGAACCTCCACCTCCAAGCTCCTGCTCAGCTGAAGTGCCAGCCCGGGGTTCCGGAGTGGCCTCTGCGAGGAACCCACATGCCAGTCCCTTCATGCTGAAGGTGGGTGCCCAGGTGGGGAGCACTTCTCAGAAATGGGGCATCTGCTGGGCCCAGCAAGAGAGGAGAGAGAGCCTATGAGCCTAGAGCCCACCCCCACCACAGGCCGGGATGGTGAAGCTTTTCTGTTAGTTTCCTCAACTCAACCCCACTTGGCACCAACTACCTGACAGCCACTTTCAGTCTGGGTGACACCCCTATAAAAAGAAAATCAAAGTCTCAGGGCCACCCCCTCAACTCCTTATGCAAATGAGAAGGTAAAAGCTTCAGGCACCAGTGAAGAACGGCCCCACAGATTAAGGAAATTCCTTGCTAATCTCCCATAAGCAAGGACATGCAAATTGTACCTGCGTCTAGCACCTAAAACAAGCCTGGCTGATTCCACGCGAAGGATGAATCACAAGTTTATCTTTACAGGTAACAGAACTGACAAGACACAATCAGACATCCTTCCACCTACCCAGGGACATCTACTTAATTGATGCTCCCTTCACTCCCTTTTCCCTTCGAACATTCTCCTTATTTTATGCAGAATGTCGACTTCCTGGGCCCCACTCACAAGCATGGAACCACTTTAACCCTCTGCCTCATCAGCTCCCCCCACCCCCTTGTTCCTTCTCTCTGTTGCCTTTAAAATGCTGAAGGTTCCAGCTTCCCCTTTGGAAAAACAGCCACGGCTTGTCTGCGGTTCATGGTTTTCCCGGGCGCGTCTTCAAAATCTCGGCTTAATAAATTACTTACTTAGGTCGACCCCCCCCATGAGGCAGAAAATTCCACCTTAGAGATGGGAAAAGTATGGCTAGGAAGGGGGAAGTCGATTGCCTGAGCCGTGCAGCAGGCGAAGGGGAGAATGGGCTTGAACCCTCCCCTGCCGGCTTCCTCTCCCCTACTTTTCTAAGCAAACTCCTGCCACGGTGTGACGTTACTTTCGCCTGGGAGAGGGTGTGAGGCAGGAGGGGGTGCAGAGGCCCCAACAGCGCAGGCGCTTTGCCTGTTGCAAGACCCCTGCCTGCCCGCTCCCACCCACCCCACCCAGGGTGGCCCAGGGCGCTCCACCCACTCCCCACCCCCTCAGCCCCCAGCCCACCATCGACTTGGTCATTTTGGACCTTCTGATGTAGACAGGGCCATCTCTCGGTCCCATTCTCATTCTGTAATCTGAGTGAGGTTGGTCATTGCTTTGTATGGCCACCGGCTGTCTGCACTTCTTTGGCTGTGACCTGCCAGGGTGCGTGGGACCCGTGAGGTCAGGGGCCCACCGAGTGCTTGAGGGCTCAGCACAGATCCCACCCGTTGCCCGGGAGGAAGGTGGATGATAAAGGAGGTGGCCAGAGGAAAAGGGGCAGGACTGCTCTGGGGACAAACGCCACCTGGACATTGGACACAGCTGCCGGGTTAAGGATGAATGGACACAAGGAGATACGAAGCAAAACCACAGTGAATGGCTGTGATCACAAAGTCGTATAATGACAAGTGTCATCGAGGACGTGGAAAAACGTGCCCCTGCACACTGCTGGTGGGAAGGGACAGTGGCACAGCCACTGTGGAAAACGGTTTGGCAGTTCCTGAAGCAGTCAAACATAGCGTCGCCATATTCTAGCCACATCTACCCGACCGTTTCTCCCCTAAGTGTACCCAAGAGAAATGGAAACGTAAGTTCACGCAAAAACTGCTCCGCTAATGTTTGTAGCAGCATCATTCCCAACAGCTGAAAGGTGGGGACAACCTGAGTCTCCAACTGAGAAATGGGTCAGCAAAATGTGGCTGTCCATACTGGAGTATTGTTGGGCCATAAAAAGGAAGGAAGCACTGATCCATGCTACAGCATGGGTGCACCTTGAAAATCTTACACGTGACACCATGCCCCGCTGATTTTTTCTATTTTTAGTACAGACGGGGTCTCGCTCTTGCTGAGCCTGGTCCTGAACTCCTGAGCTCAAGGGATATCACCTGACACTGATATCACTCTTACTCCTTTACTGATGCTGTCCCGCACCAGAACGCACCAGAACGCCAGCGCCATCATGGCGGGCCCTTCTCTTGTTGCTGGCTGATTCTTGGCCACCGGAGTGGGGCCCGGCGTGCAGTCGGCGCTCAGTAAATGTGTCTAATGAGGAGGTGGGTGACACCCACCCCAATCCTCCTTTGGACATGCTTCTCAGAGGACAATCCTCTGTCCTTGCCGACTCAAGCCCCAAGTCATTGCCACTGGGGGATCCAAGCCAGGCCACTCAGCGTCACAGTGATCAGCACAGGGGTGGCCTTCTGAGCTCTCAGATCAGGCTGGGGCGTATGTAAAGTTCATTTTCTCCCGGGGTGGCTCTCGGCCATCTTGGCCCCCTCCAGGCAAGGGCCTTCGTGACCGGGAAACCAACACAGGGGACAACAGGTCCTTCCAAAATGTGGGAGAGGACGCTGTCTGAGGTTTTGTGACCCAGTACGAAGGGGCTCCTTGTTCTTTACAACCTGAAGTCCTGAGTCACTCAGGAGGGGAGAAGTCTGATTAAGCCCAGCCCCTTCTTCCTAAATATTAACAACTCCCATTAACGCTGGGAAAGAAATGTCTGTCTGTGCATCTGTCCCCACACTGGACTGTGAGTCCCGTGAGGGCGGGGTTGGGGCTGTCTCAGTCACCACTGTGACTCTTGCACAGCACAGAGCGGGGCGCACAGTGTGCAACCCAGTTGAGTGTTTTGAATGAAAGAATAAACAAAGGATATTTTTTCTAAGGTGAACAGGGATTTTTTTAAATATGAAAAAAGAATGCAACGACTTGAAGACAACCAGCTTCATTTACAAATTTATTCTAATCCCTCTCCCCACATCGCAACGTGTACAAAATTTTAGCCAGTAGGAAATGGGAGCCATGAAACTTCCTGTGGGCTCGTGCATTTTGCGAGGGGGTTCTTTGCATTACGTACACCCTGACTGACCCCTGTGCCCCCCCCACCCCCACCGCAGTGGGGGAAGCCGATGACAAGGATGGGCCGCTGGCAAGGACGTGCCAGAGCTGAGTGTGAAGTCTCCGAGATGAGCAGCAGCCCTCCCTCCGGGCCAGGGCGTTGCTAGGGTCGAGAACAGGGACTGTGGCCCGTCTTCACATCCCACCTCTGCCTCTTCCCTGCCTGTGTGACCTTGAGCAGGTGCTCTTCCCTCTCTGTGCCTGTTTGCTCACCAAAGAAATGGAGAACTCAACGCGGTGGGGATTGTGCAAAGCACTTAGAACAGCGCTGGCACCTGACCAGAGTTCAATCCTCAGCCGCTATGACGATGGCTACTGACAGCTTATCCATATGCTGGGTGGGGGCAGTCGCAGTCCCCGGCCTCCACGGAGATGTGTCAGTGCCACAGTGGACCCCCGAGGGGTAACCATGGAGACCAGGTTCACTGGTGAAGGGCCGTCAATCCGTCGCCCCTCCATGCAGCGCTGTCTGTCCGTGGCCTTCTTGCCCTCACTAGGACCCACTTGCTCAGTTCCCTCTACTCCAGCTTCGCCCCCTCTTCTGGAAGGAATTGAGATGCTGTTCCAGAAGTTGCTCTTGGTCCTTTTGGGTAGGTCTTGTGTTCAGGTCTTTTTTAACCCCCTGGGGAAGTGAGGCGAGCAGGGAAGGCCCTGGTCCTCCCACCTTCACCTGCGGTTTCATGGGACGACTCTGCCCCGTGTACTGAATGCGAAGACCCCTCACTGGCTGTGGCGACTTGGGCAAGTGCTTTTGCTGCCCCTCAGCCTCAGTTTCCCCAGCTCATAGGGTGACTCTTGGCCCCCTCCCCACCAAAACCCTCTTAGCTTCTCTCCTGATTTTATTAAGCCTTGTACCCATTTTGCAGATCCGTATCATGGTTCTCAGATACATCTTCAAGATACCCTCCTCTCTCTGGGGCCCCTTTCATCAGGAAACAGCCGCAGTCTACGGCATGGCGGGGCATGCCGCCGGGGCATGGCGCAGCCTGGCGGGGCCCGCACCCCTCCCCACTCCAGTGGTGAATCTGGAAGAGAACCCAGGTGGGGAATGCGGAATGGCCCATGGGGGTGGCAGGAGTCCCCCGGGAGCGTACCCCGGGAGGTGGGGAGGTACAGTGGGTTGAATGACGGAACCTCAAAAGACATGTCCACATTCCGACCCCTAGAACCTGTGAATGGGAGCTCATTTGGAAAAAGGGTTTCTGTAGATGTAATAAGTTAAGGATCTTGAAGTGAGATCACCCTGGATTTAGGATGGGCCCTAAATTCCATGACAGGTGTCCCCATGAGAAACAAAAGAGAAGGAGGCCAT